AGGAGGAGGGAGGGGAATATAATGGGTGGCTTCTTTGGAGATTTTAACTCAGTGCTGCTGCTGTGGTTTGGGCAGTTGGATGCGTGTTGGGGGATGCCCACAGGGATGCAGGATGCCCGCAAGGATGCGGGATGCCCTCAAGGATGCGGGATGCTCAGGGCTGGCTCTGCCTGCAGGAGCACCCCTGGTCTGTCTGCTCTCGGAGCCTCTTCTGGGGGGAGCGGAGATGCTGCTCAGCCGCTCACTGGGATAGCTGCAAAGGTCTGCAGCAATGTTTTCCCTTGCATGCTGCAGCCTGGTATGAAGCCAGATGTGCTGCACAGCTGGGTGAGGTCCAGGGAGCATCAGACAGGCAAAATCCCTTCTGACTTTATCAGCAAAGGTGTCTGCCGTGCTGCAATACCATGGCAGCTTTTTACAGGCTTTCACCAGGGCACCAGGCTGCCTGGAACCGCCACCACGGTTATTATAGAAATAGGTATTTTCATAGCAAGAAAACTCGTGGTTTGCTCACCTGCAGAGCCCTGCTGCGTAGGCTGGGCGGAGAATGGCCTTTGGATGGGGCACCTTAGGGGGGAAAAGGGGAAAAAGAAACACCCTTGGCATTTTTTTTCCACTGGTGGTAAATACTTCTGCCTGTGCCTGACTTGGTAGTGCCAGAACTGGAGATTCACCTGCAAGGAACTAAGAGGTGCCAGCTACTCCAGGTTATAATTATGAGCCTTCTGGCTTGCTTTCCTCCAGCCCTGCCTGCCAGAGGCGTGTTGCTATATGGGAATATTAGCAATATTTAAATATTTTAGTTCTTAAGGCAAAAGTGTCTGGGGTGAACTGGGTACGCTCCGAGTATCACCAGCAAATGGGAATAACCTTTGTCTGTTTGTTTTGATCGTGAATTGTAAACTAATCTCATGGTCTGGGGGAAATGGGCTTGTGGCTTTATCATGCCTCAGGTTGTTGGCACCTGGGTTTGGGTTGCAGGATCAGGGTGATGCTGGCAGCATAAGGAAGCCTCTAGACCATGGTTCCTCACTCTGCTTAAGCCAAGGATCACTAATCCTTTTGGGGAAGAGATACTCTAGAACCATCCTGTTGCTACAGATTTCTATTTTTTAATTTTTTTTTAGCCAAATCAAATTTAGGCTTAACATTTGGTTATTCACTTATTATCTTTATTTTCCCATGATTCCTTGATTGCGTGCATCAGAATGTGGGTGTGAGGTTTCTCTTTTTTTTTTTTCTTTTTTTTCTTTTTAATTTAGTCATTATTTCATGGAGCATTTTCTGATGTCTTGTGAATCACCCACGGCTCACGGATCACAAATTGAAAAATACTCTTGTTTGAACCAGGGAGAGAAACATGCTGGGTGGGTGTGGGCGGGAGGGGGGAAGTCTGCAAATGAGAGCGCGTTGTTTGCTGGTGTCCTTATCATTCATTCTGCAAGCGATCTATTAAATACAAATGGAGGTGAAAACGGAGGGAAAGTTTAATCGGAAGTGCTGTTTTCAGTGGTAATACGCTGATACCCCCGGCATAGGCCCATATGATACCCAGCATATATGACAATAGCTAATCCCCCTGCTAGAGCTTCTGCACAGAAGAGGGCGAGCGCTGTGTGTTGCTGCAGCCGGGGCAGGAACGTGCTGGCAGCGGCAGCATCAGCATCTTACCTGGGCTCCGGCGCAGGGGAAACCTGGCACGAGCCATTTTGCAGAAGGAGCTCAACCACTGCTGGCAGCGAGACTCACTCTGCCCTCTCTTCTCCTTTCCAATGCAGGAGGGAAGCCTGTGGCCTTCGGAAAGCACCGTGTCGGGGAATGGAATAACAGAGGTGAGGGCGACGCGGGTGCCGCTGCCTTTCCCGCTGGCCGGGGCTGCAGCGTCTCATGCTTCTCGCCCTCTTTCTCTCTTTTTCTCCCTTTCAGCAGCAAATCTACACCCCGAGACCCAGCGACCGCCTGGCAGTGCCATCCTTTCTGCAGAGGGACCGCTTTAACAGATTCCAGCCAACCTACCCCTACATGCAGCACGAGATCGACCTGCCACCCACCATCTCGCTGTCGGACGGCGAGGAGCCCCCCCCGTACCAGGGACCCTGCACGCTGCAGCTGCGAGACCCCGAGCAGCAAATGGAGCTCAACAGAGAGTCGGTCCGGGCCCCCCCCAACAGAACCATCTTCGACAGTGACTTGATAGATAACTCCGTGTACGGGGGGCCGTGCCCCCCCAGCAGTAACTCTGGCATCAGCGCGACCTGCTATGGGAGCAATGGGAGGATGGAGGGACCGCCGCCGACGTACAGCGAGGTGATAGGGCACTACCCCGGCTCGACGTTTTACCAGCACCAGCAGAACAACAACGGGATGCCCTCCATCTTGGAGGGCAGCAGACTCCATCATTCACAAATCAATGGCCTTGAGAGCACAACCGCGTGGAACAAAGAGAAAGAGAAACAAAAAGGGCACCCCTTTTAAAAAAAAAAAAAGAAAAAAAGAAAAGGAAAAAAAAAAGAAAAAAGAAAGTAAACGAAACACTCTGCACTTCTGGTTAAAAGAAAAAGGAGAGAGCGAGCGAGTTGAGGAAGATGAGCAAAGGAAAAGAAAAAAAAGCCCTTCCCCATCTCTCCATGTATAAATATTTACTTGTTATGTCTGGTCTGAATGCACAAGCCTACCAAGCTTGCAAAAACATTTCTTTATTGAGCTGTGTCTAGACGTTTAAAAAGGAAAAAAAAAAAAATCAACCGTAGTCCATTTTTTTTTTTTGTTTCTAGTTGAGCTGTGTGTGAATGCTTTTTTTTGTTTGATTATTTCACTTATCTTTAAAGACAAAATATTTGCACAAAAAACATTTTGTTTAAAGATCTGCAATATAAATATATAAATATATATTAAAAATAAGAGAAAGTGTATGTGTAAGGAGCAGGAGTATTTTTGTATTAGAAGAGGCCTATTCAAAAAAAAAAAAAAAGTTGTTTTCTGAACTAGAAGAAAAATGGCAATTTTTTGAGTGCCAACTCAAAAAACGTGTATTACATTGTAAAAAAACAAAAAACAAAAAAAAAATCAAAAGCAGGGGTTTAGAGTTATTTATATAAATGTTGAAATTTTGCACTATTTTTTAATATAAATATGTCAGTGCTTGTGTTGGTCAAAGCCTCTATCATGTCTACCATGAACCTGTTAAGGGATATATGTTGAAGTGAAGAACAAAGTAGCTGGAAGGGGGTGGAAAAAGGCTGAAGTGGAGATGCCCGCCCTGGGAGGAGCGGTGAGCGAGACTGCATCTTATGCAAATCCTTAATTTCCAGAGTCCCTGCGCGTGGCTGCCGACAGTCACGGCTTTATACATTCCCTACAAAGCAAGAGGAGTTGGTGTGTGTCTGTATGTCATCCGGTAGGATTATTGGAGTGAAAAGGTAAAATAAAAACTCCCTGCTTCTGAGAGTCAGTAATGACTGAAGCAGACAAAAATTACTTGATTTTTTTTTTTTTTTTTTTTTTTTTTTTTTTTTTTTTGGGACAACCTCTAACTTTTTTGGAGGGGGGTGGTGGGGATGAGAATAAACTTCTGTGTCTGAAGGAACAAAGTGTTTTTTGGTTTATTTCTTTCAATGTTCAACTGAAGGGGCCCTATTTGGAGCTAAAGCGGTGATTATGGAAGTTAATGTGAATATGTGGTAATGTACCCACCAGCTGCCTTTCAGCTGGGGTTTAAATAGCTCATGGAAAGTACAAGCTGAAAAGTGTGGTGGTGAAAGTCATTTTCATTTTGTGTTAACCTCCCAAACCTCTGTTTGGGGTGAACAGGCGCAGCCATGTCTCGCAGCTCCGCCATCCCCGGGGCTGCCTCTGGTCATCGCTATTTTTGATTTTATTATCCTAGCTAAAGAGGTGTCAGGTACAGTAGATGGAAATGAATCTGCTCCTGTGATGTATTAATTAAAGGCTAAATAAATAAGCTTAATGCTTTAGAAGCAAACCCCCTTTACCTCTTCCGAAGATGTCCTCATCCACAGCAGCACGGTCCCACCTGCCCTCCTGCCCGCCGGGTGTTGTGCGTCCTTAATTTATCTTGGTTTTGGAAGCATTTTGTCTTACTATGCTATTGTTTACATTTTTATATCGCGTAGGTGTCTGGTAGGTGTTTTACCCTCGCGGTGAATTTGTATGTGACGGAGTGAGCGAGTGAGAAACCTGAGAGCGTGCCAGAGAGAGAAGAAAAGGGAAAAAACCTGTTCTGGGTCCCGTCTCCCCGGCCAGGAGAGCATCTCTCCGAGCGCGAGGAAGGGTCGGTAGGGGAACCGCGGAGAACAAAGGTTTTACCAGGAGGTGTGATTTCATTTTCTGCAGGATGCTATCTAGTAGAGTGACATAAATGAAAGATATAAAGGCAATAACTATTGTTTTTAAGCAACTTTTCTATTACTTGAAAAAAAAAAAAAGGAGAACGGTTTTGAAGTTCTGACCATTTGAACAATATTTATATATATTTTAAAGAAGACAATGAATAGCTGAACTTGAAGTTTGATCATTATTTTTTGCCTTTTTTTTTTTATTTTTGCCTAGAAATAGTCCTGTACCTTCTCAATATTTCAAACTGCTTTTCCACAGCTCTTGAAATCTTCATAGCTTTACAGTCGTGTAACCTAAATTTTGATGACCTTAAAAAAGAAAAAAAGCCACAAAAAAAATAGTCATGCGAAGGAATAAATCTAGTTTGTCACGAAAGGTACAAACATGATGAATTTGCACGCCTTTATATAGTGTATCTGTCCTTTATGTAACATGTCTATTTAGTGCCTTATTAAAGAAACGGTGACCCTCCCTTTTCAGAGAGGGGAAAACAAAAATCATCGTTAGCGTCGCAAGTAACCAGCGTCCGGTCTCTTGCTCCTTTGGACCTTCCATTCAATTTTCCAGTCCCTTCGCTCCCGGAGCAGCTCCCTGGGCCCGGCCACGCCGGCTGCTCCCTCTCACGCTGTCTGTAAGGGAACCTGAACCCATTTCTGCACATCGTCCTACCCGGGGAACCGAGCGCGAGGAAGGGTCGGTAGGGGAACCGCGGAGAACAAAGGTTTTACCAGGAGGTGTGATTTCATTTTCTGCAGGATGCTATCTAGTAGAGTGACATAAATGAAAGATATAAAGGCAATAACTATTGTTTTTAAGCAACTTTTCTATTACTTGAAAAAAAAAAAAAGGAGAACGGTTTTGAAGTTCTGACCATTTGAACAATATTTATATATATTTTAAAGAAGACAATGAATAGCTGAACTTGAAGTTTGATCATTATTTTTTGCCTTTTTTTTTTTTATTTTTGCCTAGAAATAGTCCTGTACCTTCTCAATATTTCAAACTGCTTTTCCACAGCTCTTGAAATCTTCATAGCTTTACAGTCGTGTAACCTAAATTTTGATGACCTTAAAAAAGAAAAAAAGCCACAAAAAAAATAGTCATGCGAAGGAATAAATCTAGTTTGTCACGAAAGGTACAAACCTGATGAATTTGTACGAGTTTTTAAAGTGTATCTTTCCTTTATGTAACATGTCTATTTAGTGCCTTATTAAAGAAACGGTGACCCTCCCTTTTCAGAGAGGGGAAAACAAAAATCATCGTTAGCGTCGCAAGTAACCAGCGTCCGGTCTCTTGCTCCTTTGGACCTTCCATTCAATTTTCCAGTCCCTTCGCTCCCGGAGCAGCTCCCTGGGCCCGGCCACGCCGGCTGCTCCCTCTCACGCTGTCTGTAAGGGAACCTGAACCCATTTCTGCACATCGTCCTACCCGGGGAAGTAGAAAACTCTGGTGGATATTGTAAATGAGATATACCAACCAAAAGAGAAACCGAAATACAGTATCTACTGCCCTCTTGAGCCAAAATGCATGAATAGTGGGGTTGGGGTTGGATTTATTTTTGGGGGGTTGGGGGGGGTGGGAGAGGGGAAGGGGTGTTGTTTTGTGATCTGAACTGGTTTGTTTGCTACAAAAAAACTGGTTACCTCAGCAGGTTTTGGGTGGAATATGCATCACACATTTAAAACTGAGCAGTGAATAAGGAGATTGTTGTGGGGACTGGAGGTGGTTAAGTAGTGGGATGGGCTCGTCACCTGGCCACCAAACCCTGCAGAGGGGTGAGGGCGCTGGGTAGGGTCCAGAAAGACACAGAGGGGTCATGGGCGAGCATCTAAAACCGCAGTGCAATTCAACCCAGCTCTCATGCTTTGAAGTCCTCAAAATTTCAACTGATTCTCTATTTTTTTCCCCTATGCTTTTTTTCTCTCCCCAATCTGCTCCCAGTGTGAGCTTTTATTTGTCGAGCATCACCCCAGGCATCTGCAGTTGAGTGATCAGGTGGCTGAGTTCCTGGATCCAGCTTCATTTACCTCTTTCTCTAGTTTGGGGAGTTCAATGCGTGTGAAACGGGGTGGCTCAACAACCCCAAATGATGCCTTTCAGGCCCTGCCATGCACAAACCCCAGGCTGCCGCCTTTCCCGCTGCCCGTGCTGGTCCGTGGGGAGCGGCTGCAGCCCCGCTGGGGGAGAGCCCCAGGTCCCAGGCAGCGGGTGCAACTCGAGCCCACCCTGACAGAGCCAAGTTGTCACCTTTTGTCTGTTTTCTGTCCGTCCCTCTGCTTTGCGGTCCTGAGAACTGTGTGTTTCAAGTGCAGATACCAGATCTGGGACCCAGATCAACTCCAAGTTCTGAATGGGTGTTTAGAAATAATGGTCTGTTCTTTTTTATTATTGTTGTTGTTGTTGTTATTGTTGTTGTTATTATTATTATTACTATTTAATGTTACTTTTTGCCTCGGGGTCCATTTCTTCCCAATTCCCATGTCCCGTATTGCCACCAAGGCAGAGAATTTGCTTTGCACGCCCTTGCTGATGTCTCTGATCGTTTCCTTCTGGCCTTCGTGCAGCTCAGGAGTGAGCTGTGCTGCAAGCTGGACTGTGGGCCCACTCCGTAGGAGTTCCTAGCATCTTGCCGCTGCCAGCAGAGAGATTCAGGCCCCTTAGGAATGATTTATTTTGAAACAAATGCAGAAGAAACAAGGCATTGCTAATGTTTAGCAACCTCTTGTCCTAGCCTGCCTTTTTGCTCGAAGTTTTAAGAGTCACGTTAGCTTTAAAAGGGGTTGTTAATCTTACAGAGTTTCTTAGCTTACAGTACGGCAAACGGCATCCTTGAAGTGCCCCCAAATCCTAATGGCTTGGGATGGGAATGTGGCTGTGTCGATCAGGGTGGTGAGGAAGGATGGGTTTCACTTGGGGCCGACACTGGTAAATCTTGTGTTCCCTTCACAACCCTCGATTTCACCAGTTTGAAGATTCAGCTTTATTCATCTAGTGCGTTGTTTCCATAAGTGTTACAAAATCAATTCTATCTTAAGTGGGGGTATAAGGAAATGCAATTGCTTTCTGGAGAATCACCCTTTTGTACGTGTATTGAACTATAAAATTGCACTAACTGCTAT